CATTCATTGTAACAGCAACATCAGTTCTAAAGGTACATAATGAAGTAAAGGCATCTATGCTTCTGTTGTGTGAGGTGTGTGGCAGGAGAATACAGCTCTATGCAAGGGAGTCACTACTTACAGCACCTCTGCTGATATCGTCAGTGTGATCAGTGATCCGTACATCAGTCTACATCAGTCAGTGAGTCAGTACACTAGTCAGTCAGTCAGTGTGTCGCTAAGTCCCTATATAAGTTAGTATTTCAGTCAGTATGTAAGTCAGTCAGTATGTCAGTAAATCAGTGTGTCAGTAAGTCCCTATAAAAGTCAGTATGTCAGTAAGTCAGTAAGTCCCTATATAAGTCAGTATGTCAGCGTGTCAGTCAGTGTGTCAGTAAGTCCCTATATAATTCAGTATGTCAGTAAGTCACTATATAAGTCAGTTTGTCAGTGTCTCAGTAAGTCCCTATATAAGTCAGTATGTCGGTCAGTAAGTCACTGTCTCAGTCAGTCAGTATATCAGTAAGTCATTAAGATGGTAAATTAGTGGGTAAGCCAGTATCAGAACTAAAAATGCGTTTAGGGGTAATATAGTCATAAAAGGCAGGAGTATTGTGGCAATATAAACTCGTTGTTTTACATTTAATTCCAAGGGCTTTGAATGACATATAACTCCCATGGTCCACCAAGGTAACCTTTTCCACACTCAGACAGGAGGTCTGTGGTGCCACAGCCTCCAGGGATGGGTTGCTGATTAGATGTTTGTTGATTTTTTTGGTGTAGATCTGTAAAGCCTTTATCAGAGCCATTTACAGTACCGCAGAGCTGGCAGGGAAGCTTCATGGGAGTTGTGTTTTTCCCCCTAATAACTTTGTGATGGTAAAATCAGGAAGTGTCTGTAATATCAGTGCCTTAATCATTCTGCAATAAAATCGATAGATCCCATGATGCACTGCTGCATAAGAACCTTACACTTGACGTCACAGCAGCGGACCTGATAAAAGGCAAACATTTCCACAAATATTTGCACTGTCTTATCTCTTCAATTTAGCAAGCAGGTGTACACCTTTGTAAAACAGAGGAGTACAAGTGGTGCAAAGTCAAGGGCTCCTTTTTAGTCACATTTCCTTTCCATACTTTTAAATAATGCCTCAGGGAGCATGAGTTCAAAGAATTTCATTGTGACCGCCGTGAATTATTACTGGGAGGGGCGTGCCTTGCTGAGCCTGAACAGAGCTAGGAGGCGCGCTCTCCCACTGCGCTGCTCTTGCGAGTATAGTACAGGAGAGCTCCAAGGCCTCAAGGGCTGCTGTCCAGCAGGGTTTATACGTCTCTCTAAATCTCCAGCTTCCCAAGAACAAGGAGAGGCTACAACTTGTCCGGTTCAGCAAGTGGAAGTAAGACCAGAAAGTTTCTGGGCCCCAGGCCAGGAGGTGTGCCCCCTGGTGGAGG